GGCCCCCCGCCGCCCCCCCCCCCCCCGGCCGCCCCCCCCCCCTGCCGCACCGCTCCCCCTCCTGCCTGACCCTGCTGCCGTCCCAGGGCCGAGGGCTCTGCCCTTGCTGATCCTGCTGGCTGCATCCCCTTCTCCTCGGGTACGGCCGGGCCCCCCCCCGCCACCGGCCTGCCTTCCCCTTCCCTTTCCTTTCCCCTACTGCTGCCCTTCCCCTCCCAGATGCTGGTGCTGGTGGGGCTGGTGCTGTGCCTCGCTCCTGCGGACGCCCTGACTGCCTTCCCCCCAAAGTGTGAGTCCTGCCCCCCTGGGCACAGGGGGCCTCGGAGGGGAGACACCCCGGGGTGGGGGGCTGCGGGACCCACGCAGCAGCCGGAGGGAGCAGGAAGCGCCCACGTCCCGCATCCTTCTGATACAGGGCGACGTGAGCCTGGGCTGGGGCAGCGCTTCTGGTAGGGTGGGGGGTTAAAAGATGGGCATGAGAGCGATTGTGGGGGGCACAGACACGGGGTGAGGGAGCAGGGGGATGGATGTGGGGTGAGGGAGCAGGGTGGGGATAGACATGGGGTGAGGGAGCAGGGGGACAGATGTGGGGTGATGGGGCAGAGGGGGGATGGATGTGAGGGGATGGGGCAGGGGGGATGGACGTGGGGCGCAGGAGCAGGGCAGGGACCTTGGGAAGGATGGATGTGGTGTGTCGGGACGAGGGGGCACCCAGCCCCATCGTGGTGTGGGGGACGGGCTGCCCACACCACAGCCCATCTCTGACCCCAGTCGCTGCCTCCTGTCTCCAGTTCAGGTGGGGAAACTGAACGGGGATGTGGTGGTGAAATGCAACACCTCGGAGCAGCAAGTGACCTGGACGCAGAACGGGGAGCTGGAGCCCATGGCCGAGCTTGTGGCTGAGGGACAGACTCTCACCATCCTTGGCTTGGACCTGCCGGCCGCGGGCAACTACAGCTGCTGGGCCGGCACCGTCCTGCTGGACACCACCTACGTGGTGGTCAGCGGCACCTGTACGTGGGGCTGGGCATGCAGGGCTGGCACGGCCAGAGCTGAGGGAGCGGGGGGATGAGGGGCGATGGGGGGGGATGCAGGGCGGAATCTGCAGACGTTCGTGCCCAGCCCGTGGGGCTGGGGGGACGCACCGGGCCGGGGAGAGCCCAGCCGCACGGGGAGGGGGCACCGCTCCCGGCCCCGCGCAGCCCCTGAGCCGTCGCCCCTCGGCCCTGCCAGGCAAGGAGGGGATGAACGTCTCCTGCCAGGCTGCGTCCTACCGCGGTTCCTTCCACTGCTCCTGGACCGGCCCCGACTCTGCCGTCTTCCGCGCCCGCCTCACACGCAGGTGGGTGCCCCCGGGACCCCCTCAGCCCGGCTCCAGCCCCGTGGCCGCCCAGCCCTCACGCCTGCCTCCCCCCAGCAGCGACGGCTCCTTGGGCGAGTGGGTGCCAGTCGCCAGCCACCACAGCCAGTTCAGCGCCAACTTCACGGACCCTTCCTTCTGCCCGTTCGCCGAGGAGCTGCACCCGCTGCAGCTGCAGCTGGAGGGGCTCTCGGACAACTCCTACCTCAACTTCTCCACTCAGTTCTTCATCCACGACATTGGTGAGCTCAGACCAGCAGCAGCGGGGCCCAGGGGCCATCCTTGGGGTGCTGGGAGCCCTGTGCGAGGGCTCGGCTCCGGGCTGGGCAGCACCGCCCCGTGCTGAGCCCTGCTCTGCCCGCAGTGCGGCCTGACCCGCCGCAGGACCTGACCGTGCAGCGGCGAGGGCAGCAGCTCCACCTGGCCTGGGCCCCCCCGGCCTCCTGGCCGCTCCCCAAGTCCTACTTCGCCCTGCTCTACCGGCTGCAGTACGAGTTCCACAACGGCACCCAGGTAACGGCGGGATGCCTGTGCCCAGCCTGCCCGGGCACGTGCTGACCCGTGTCCTCGCTCTGCTGCGCCCACCCTGCCCTGCGCCCGCCCTGCCCCTGCCCCAGCCCCAGCCCGGGCTCTTCCCTCTGCCCAGGGCCGCCGTCGGGAACAGGGATGTGCCGGGGGCTCAGCAATGGCCCCCTCCCCACTACACTGCTTCTCTCCTTGGGGCGGTAAATTGTCACTCCTGGCTGTCGTCTCTGCTTCCCCCTGCCAGCGCTGCCCATGCAAGGCAGCGTCGCTGCCGGGGTTGAGGAGGTGCCGGTGTCTCCCACTCCCGAGCCCCCAGCGCCGAGCGCTGCGCCGGCCCTGTCCCACCTTCCCCGCAGCC